AAGTCAGTCACAGCCCCCACTACTCCCTGATGTCTCCTGGAGGCTGGCATGGAATGCTGACTGACATTTGCTACTTTAGAGCATATGTATCTTCTTCTTACGGGTGAAAACAAAGCATATGTAACAAACAGAGGGTTTTGATGAATGCAAATGTTACAGGGGGAGGAATTAATTCCTGGCCTGCAATTCCTTCCTCTACAGAAATTTCTCATAACTGCGCAGAGCGGTGCACCTGGTATGACTAACCAGATACCATTTCCTACCCGGTGTGCAGTTTCCCTATCAAATGGGATTTCATATGTGCAGCATCAGCTATCTCTTTTTTCTAGAGGCTGACCTTTCATAATCTTGATGGTGTCCTTTGAGGTGTGACCGTTTTCAACACAACGGCACCCGCTTTGTCTATTTTTTCCTTTGTTGTTCATATTTCTGGCTCCAGAGCCAAGCCACCATGAGCTAACCCACAATCACAAGGAACCACATTCATTTTCCTCCAAAGGTTGCATAGGTCAGTTTTGACTGCAGTTCCCTTCCTTGGCAGATACATATGCCAGCATCTCAATGTTGTCGGTGGAAAAGGCCATCATGCCTCACTGAATTATTATGATACCTTTATCAAACATTAATTGACCATGACCATATTTTCTAAATTTCAGAATTCTCAGTTATATTTCATGGTATGTGTATCTTTCTGACAATAGCAATGCAGTCTTGGTTTTGTAGGTGCGTTAGTGGGTTTGAAATCACATGCATGAGGCATGTAAATTTGTTCTTTGACAAAGAATATTTTGGCCATTCTGGAGCTTTTGCAAACGTTTTGAAGAGTTTATCACTAACTTGTCAATTTGGGGTCCAAAATCTAGCGGGGGTTTTCATAAGGTTTGTATTAACTTTTTGAAGAGCATTATTATCTTAATAAAATTAAAGAGTTTTGTTCACTAATAGGATGCCTTCCCATTTATTTAGCCTGTGTTTCTTTAGATTCAATCAACTATTCTACCTTGGTTTGCACTTCCCAGTCACTGAAGACCACACACGAGTGGGCTTAGGGATTTCATTCAACATAAATTCTAGGGTAGGCCAACGAGCTTGTTGCACAATGGGCTGATTTTGGTAGCTTAATTATCTAAGAGCAACTTTCTCACCAGTCTGTGACCTGACAGACATGAAAGGGTTTTCTACTAGGCATTGGTATTATAGCTGGTATATGCCCGTAGGCGCAGCATTGAGAAGCTGAGGGAGATGAGTTCAAGGCATACTTGGCCTACACAGAGAATCTGTCTCTAGGAAAGAAAAACAACAGTGCTCTGAATGTCCATATTAGTAGGTCTTCATGAATATCCATAGGTAGGTCTTCATGATTACACAAGTATATATGTTGTTCCTCAGAGTCAAATGTCTAACTACACAACATCTAGTTCTCCTAGTATGATTTTAGTTTTGGAAGAAACTTCTAAATTCTTTTCTATTCCTGCCAGTTTAGATTCGCATCAACAGGATGTCCAGTGTCTTCTACCTTCTTACCCTCTACTCTGTATTTCAGACATTCTAATCATGTGTAGTGACAGTTCTTCCTGATTCCAACATGTGTTTACTGACTTTAATGATGTGTGACTTCGGTAGGTGCTTCTTTTCCCTCTGAATATCACCTTTGGCTGAACGACTATTTATGTTTGTTTCATTTTTAAATTGTGGTTAAAAAATGCACAGAGGATCAATGAGACAAATAATCAGTGGATTAAAGGAACTCATGTAAAGGGAAGAGAGAACTGACTCCACACACTTGCTGTTGCTTCCCTCTGTACTCATCACACACACACACACACACACACACACACGCACACACACGCACGCACACACACACACATGCACACACACACACACATGCACACACACACACACACACACACACACACACATGCCCAATATTTCTTATGATGGCGAGGCAAACTTATTTCTACCTTAGGATACTGTGAAAGCAATACACAATTTTAAAACACCTTTCTGAACATATGGGACTTCATGAGGCTGTTGTTTCCACATGGGTCTCTCTGGTGACTCTGAGCAGCATCCAAAGCAGACAACCAACCCTGTAATCACTGAGGGTGCAAAATAGGCACCGAAGAAAACTTTGTTTCTCGGTTGCGGCTCTCAGTGCATCGGCTGCATTCAATAAATCTGCAATTTAGGGTGTTCTCAACCTAACAATGCCTCCATCTGGACGTGTTCCCACTGTAAGTTGCAAAGCACTTGCACATTGTTGCTGGGGCACATCAGCTCCACCAGCATTTCAAAGGCCACGCAATATCTAGAAATTAAAGCACAAAAGTACATTGGTGGTAATATATCATGATCAGTCAGTCAAGCAGATAGAAAGGCTTTTTTTCTCATAATGTTGATATTTAACCAAGAAAACCAAAACAAAAAAGAGAAATAAACTATATTCAGAATAACTGTAAAGAGAGAATCTTTGAAGTATCAATCTACACTCATTTTGTCTCTTACCTCTTTTTTCTATGAAGAACCTCAAGACAGAGGCTATAGGGGTTGTAGTGACAGTAACTACTGCTCTTCAGAAGACCCATGTCCAATTCCCACAATCCACAAGGTGTGGCTCACAACCACCAGTAATTCCAGCTTCGTGGGTTTGCAGATAAAAACAGGAAGTCAAAACAACACTAACAGAATATTTTTTAAAAATCTTTTTTCAAATCTCCTCTTTCTAACACTATATATATATATATATGCTACTCATCTTTTACTTTCGGTGTGATCAATTTCGACAACTGTTCTATACCAGACACAGAATTAATTATGTCTAGTTTCATGAGATTATAGCAGCCTTTCTGGTATTTTATTCTAATTACTAACTAGTTCCAGAAGGGATATATATATATATATATATATATATATATATATATATATATATATATATCCTTTACATATACCAAATTACTTTATTTCTAATCTATTTTCTTTCTAGAAACAGAGCAAATGTCAGGCACAGATAATCCTGTTCTGGAATGGAAGACTTAGAAGATTTCGCAAAATAGTTAAAGAACTTTAGAAAGCATGAGGGTGTGAGGGAAACTGGCAGTGGAAGAAACAGGATTGTAAGACGATGCCTGAGATGGAGCACTTGGAGCCCTGCCATCTCTGCTGGCCTGTGAGCCTGGAGGATCCCAACCAGACAAGAAAGAAGACCAGGCCCAAGGCCGGGTCCTGGCAGAAGGTAAGACCGCAGAGACGCAAAGCCCTCAGCTGGGGGTGTCTTGAAGACTCTAAAAGGAGACTCCTATCCATCCTTGCCTATGAAGGAATGCAAGAGGAAAAGTGGTTTTTTTAACTTGCAGATTTAGATTCTCGAGCTTGAAATTGCAAGAATGTATAGGCTTAAGTTCACACCATATGTATAACCCAGCTTCTCTGGATTAAACTTTAAAGTGATAGAAAAAGCGAACCACTAACTAATGTCCAACATGTATGACTCACAATGACATACTGAGTAACAGAGACCAGACACTGACTATGGAATTATGGACCAGGCACCTAACTTACAGTGATACAAACCAGATCCATAATTACCTCGGGAGGGAAGGGGAATCACTTGCAAAGATGTGAAGATGGGTGCAAATTTAATTAGTTCAATGCATGCTTAGAAAGCATATGGCATCAATAAATTCACAAAGAAATTCCTGGAGGAGGTCCTAAGAAACATTAATTCAAATTAACAAGTGATTCAGCGACAAACTGCACAAATGTCTCCTGCGGAGATGAATGTTTTGAAACTCTTTCAAAAGAGAAGTCATTGAAAATTTGGTAAAGGAATCCAAAATTGAGTATGAGACTAGAAAAAGGAGCAAATGGAAAGCCTATTAGTATAAAATGATCACTTAAATTACAAACTCAATAGATGCGGTAACGGCATATCGACGTATTGCAAAGAGCAGCAGAAGCAGCCGGTCAGCGACACATACGGCTGCAGAGTATGCCACACTCCGACTTTTAAATAGAGACAACAGCTGCCCAAAGGGATCTGTATGTAACTTTACCACACTACAGGCATGCACATTCAAGCTGGACACCAGTCATTTGTGCCATCGACACATACGGTAAGTTTAGATTCAGCTAGTTAATAACTGTTCTTTACAAGAGATCATTTTCTTTACCAAGTCTAAGAGGTCAGTGAAATTCTGTGCTGCACCTTGGAGTTTTCTGAACTTAAAGTCAATTCTAAAGTGTGTCTGTCCCCAGATGTCACAGTCTGCCTGCCTAGGACTCCCTCTGACTTGCTAGGCATACTTTCTATTCGGTTTTAAAGAATGCTAATACAGTTATTTAAATGTTTGTGGGTCTTGCATACATATGTAATACTTGTGATTAATACATTTAAAATAAACCACCATAAATTCAATAGGTGCATTTCCATATTGACCTTTACTTAAAAGCTTTGTAAGTTAGCTAATGCATCTGATATTTGATATTTCCTTGTGGATGTGCTCATGCACTCGTGTTAGGAATCATCCACCTCAATCAGCATCTGTTCCAGGAGAGGTATAAGTACATCCAAAGGGAGGATCTGACCTTCTTCATTAAAAGGCAAATCTTTAAAATGCTAACCTGAAAATATGCGGCAAAAGACTGCAAAAAATAAGGACAGCTCATTAGTATCAGTCTCCTTGCGTGTGTGTGTGTGTGTGTGTGTGTGTGTGTGTGTGTGTGAATGCACCATCAACCTCTGAGTCCTTCAGTACCATCCTCAGTAACAGAGTCACTCGCTCCTCCATCCAAGTTACCCGCTCTGCAATGTTCTGTGCAAGGAAGTCTAGAGTAAAACCACCCCGGTGGCCAAAGACACAACCATTATGGTTTTCTCTGGTTGCCTAGTAAAACAGCAGAGTCACCAACAATAGGGCCATACATTGGAAACCCGATGCGGCCCAGCCAGATCCTGCCCCACCCAGAGCTCCCAACCAGGTAGGAAGCCCCTGGGTACTCACAGCTGGAGAAAGTCAAGGGGCAGGCGTGCGCGTCCATGGGGAAGTTGTGCAGCTGCAGCTGGCACTCTGCGTTGATGGTGAGCCTAGGAAAAAGACCAGTGTCAGCAGCGTGAGCATGGCCAAGGCCTCCAAGACAGGTAAGACGTCACACAGCAGGTGCTCGCCCACACGAGGTGCATCGCGTGTAAAGCCAGGACACGCTGACCCCCTCACTCTGGTTCACTAAGTGTAGCCCTCCGGATTGCTCTCTTACTGTGCTAATCCTTTTTGTTTTTAACTATTAGTAGCAGAGGGAATTCTAGGAAAACTCCAGCCATGCCTAGAAACATAAGCCAAGTCACAGCGGGGGGAGAAAAATCCAGCTGTCGTTTTTCTAATCCACTATTTCAATTTGTTTGAGGAAAATCCTTCCACTTGAAACTGGTGTGTTGGATCACAGAGGTATTAGGTCATATCCGTCCATGGAATGCATCCTTGGGAACCTCCCACTGTTGCCCCAGGCAGGCGGAAATGGTATCACGTGAGCACATTTCATGTTCTCTGTGTGTCAACATTCTTATCGTGGATCTAGGACCAGCCCGGCTCAGTACTGTTCTGAGGATCAGCTCCTCTTCTGAGGTCTCTTCCCTCGCCCTTTGCGACTGATGAGAAGCCTGCAGTAATTTCTGTCCATTGCATCCCCAAACGTCCCTGCTGTGACTGACTCTTCGTTGTTCTTTCTGTCAGTCCCTGTCTGGAAACTCCTTCCCTTGGACGTTCCCTTTTGATTTCAGTATGTGTCTACTGTGGAAACTTTAGCTGTAGGGATCACATTTTTCTCCTCGGTGCCATGATCACTCATGAATAACATCTCTATAATGAATATGGAATGAAGGATCATGTTGGAAGCTATGAGGAAGAGATGCTTTAAGGGAGCCTGGGGAGAGCAGTGTGCCTCAAAGGAAGTTGTTTTTCCTTAATTTATGGTCAATCTGAGATGCCTTTTAGCCCAGTAAAGGAGACACAGGCAGATGCCTAGGTATCTAAAACCTGAAATGGTGTAGGTAAACTGATCACCTGCTTGAGGCCCCTTAATCTTTTCCCTTTTCTTTTAAAGAGGCAGACTTTTCACATGGGGTTCTGAGTTCTATGGTGAGGCCTCTTTTAAGGGCCCCTTTTCCTAGCTCCTGTGATGTAACTTGCAAAATAATTAACGTATTTTTCTAGACAAAGGTAGTACCATGTTTGGAAGCCAATGTCCTGGGAAGTTCACATAGACATTCAAAGTAATACTACCTTAGATTCCATTAATAAAAAGTCCACTTATGTACTCTGATGGTCCCCCGTGGAGGGCCTTACTATCCCTGGGGAGTGGGTGTGGGGTCGATTGGGGGAATCTGTGGGGAGCATGGGAGGATGGGAGGGTGAGGAAATGGGAGGATTGATATGCAAATAAGAGTGCTTCTAAAATAAAAAAAAATACTTTTAACAAAAAAATTGAGCTATACTGCATCTTACCTTAATGTGTAAAGGATTTTCCCATCATTCCAGATTCTGAGGAGCTGGTTAGGTGTGGTGATCCAATGAGCCTCCGCTGTCTTAGAGTTTCTGAAGATGGTGTCTGGGATCCATATCAAGCCAACCATGTTGCTATTCAGAGTAAGTATTTTCATTGTGCTGTTGAATCGAAGGCGGCTGTCTGTCCAGGTCTGAGCAAAAAATATATCAATTTGGTATTCCTGAAACAGAGAAAAAGACACTTCCCCTTAATCTGTGGTCAAACTGTAGAGCCTTTCAGCCTGAGAAAGGAGACAGGCAGGTGCATTGTGACCTGAAACCCATGAGACGTGAACTGGTCACCTTTGTCCTGTTTCTGAGTCCTCTCCCCCTTGTAAGGACACATCCCTTTCACAGGGCTTCAACGATTTAAGGAGACTGAACTTTAATATACTTTGCTGTCTTTGTCAAAAGTCTAGTTTTCCTCTGCGTTCCCATAACCAACCCTCCCACCCTCCCTTTGTGAGTAGCAGTTTATCAATGTATTCGCATGCAACGAACACTAATTGATATTACCAGCAGACAGCTTGGTGGGATCTCATGCAATATTTTGCTAACTTTAAGTTGTAATAAGAATACACGATCCCATGGGGCTTGAAGAGCAAGCAGTACACACTTCAGGGCGTGGTGTAGAACCTAAACTAACCTAAACTTGGACACCTTGCATGATAACTTGGAGCTGATGTTGTATGCACTGACAGAAACAATGTTCCCTTCCTAAATGTGTAAAAAAAAAAGGAAAAGGAAATGATGGACAAGAAATCTGGATGCTGAGCATGGGGAGCCAATAATTTATAAATACTAGCTCTTGAAGTAACACACCATTATTCGACAGTCTTCCCAAATAACACAGCCTTAGGAGGACAAAGTACAAGAAATGAAAAGCACCAAACTGTAGTGTAAAGGCACCCAAGGCAAGCTTGATGTTAACCATAGGTTGGAGGTGGTGGTGGTCAGGGTCACGCAGGCAAGGATCCAGTGTCAGAAGCTGTTGTTCCAGAGTTCACAGGCCCACTATGACTTTGCTGTGGTGATCAGAGGACTGGGCCGGGGCTGAGAACACCACAGAACACAAGGAGTGTCTCTGACCCGCCCATCTAACCACACTGTGAAGAGCCACCTCGGCCTTGGGAATAGTGGCGTTACGAGCTGATCTCAGAAGTTTGATCATTCATAGTTACCACTATGCATTAGATGTTATATGATTTCAATGCTTTTACAGAGCATGTACTCAGCAGCTTCCAGGGAACCAGGTAATACTCATTTCAATTGAGCTTCCAGGAAAAGAAGGCCCCGGGGGTTCAGCTGGTGGTCTGTTAACTAATGTTTTCCTTACCACTTCTCTGTTACACTGGCCACGCTAAGCCCTGTAGCCCTCAGAGAAACAGCACTTGAATGCAGGAAAGGTCACGGTCATCAGGGAGCATGTTTTCCAGTCAAATAAGACAAATCTCAAGGTCAAAAATAGTGTGTTTTAGGGTCACAATACCATGCATGCACGCGCGTGTGCCCGTGCACACACACACACACACACACACACACACACACACGTTTGGATTCCATTCAGAGGAACCCCAAAGCATGTTTGTATGAATTCCTTGAAAGTTCACATGTTGGAAATTTCCATTAGAGAGTCTAGTGTCTGGAATATAATTGGAATTATATGAGGTCTTGAAGGTAAGGCCCCTATCCTGGAGTCCACAGCTTTTCAAGAAGAGGAAGATGGATCAGTGAAACAACTCAGCAGGAAAGGCTTTCACCAGGCAAGACTGAAGGTTTAAGATTGAGCCCAAGGAACCCATGATGTAAGGAGAGCTTGGATACCTGAAAGTTGTATTGTGACCTCCACAGGCACAATGTGCCCCATGTGGGCCCACATTTATGTGCAGTGAGGGGTAGAGACAGATGGGGGAGGGAGGCGGGAAAGGACCACTACGGAGAGAGAGAAGGGGGAGGCGATATAAAATGAACAAAAATGTAACATATATATATATACATACATACATACATACATACATACATACATTCCAGAAATTGGTAATTAAAAGAAGAGAGACTGAAGGCAGCAGTCTGTGCCCCTCCCACCAATTGGGTCACGATTCAACAATAAGACACCATGCCCTTGGGCATCCAACTTCCAGAAATGTGGCACGAGAAAACATCTATTTTTCACGTATAACACAGTTTGTGGTATGACAATCTAGAAACAGGAAACAAGGCAGAGAAGTGTCTAGGCTTTCACCTTCAGAGAAGGAGGAGTTCACAGCACAGAGGCTGAGTTTTATGTCAGCTCTTGAGCAGCCATGAGGAAAATTGACCAGGAAACTTCCACAGAAGACTCAATTCAATGTCACCTCACAACCTATAAGGGTTGTGATACCCCAACAAACTGATGGTCCTTCTCAAAAGTCTCTGTGTTTCCCATACATCTTCCAAACGTTCCCTTATGGATTAATGGCTGCTGCCTACAAAATATATGTGTCTAACAGCCTGGCCCCAACACAGAAGTACACAAAGCAGAATAAGAGATGGAAGTGAGTAAATAAATGTGTGTGTGTATGTTCTATTCCTGTTCATATATTCTCTTATATTCTCACTGATATAAAAAAGGTGCTCAAAAAATAAGAATAACAAACTGGATGACTACAGGTAGAAGAATCCAAACAGATCCATACTTATCACCCAGCACAAAGTTCAACTCCAAATGGATCAAAAACCTCAGAATAAGGCCAGATCTACTGAATCTGACAGAGGAAAAACATCGAAAACAGTCTTATACACATTGACACAGGAAAAGACTTTCTGAACAGAACACCCAGAGTGCAAGCACAAAGAGCAAAATTATAAAAATGGGGCCTCACAAGGCATGGTTAGCACATGCTTTCCATACCATCACTTGGGAGGCAAAGGCAGGTGGATCTCTGAGTCCAAGGCCAACCTGGTCTACAAAGAAAGTTCCAAGACAGTTAGGGATACACATAGAAACCCTGACTCTACTTGGAAACAGGGAGGACACCAAGAGAGATATATATGGCCCCCTGGAGAAGGGGAAAGGGACAAGATCTCCTGAGCAGGTTGGGAGCATTGAGGGAGGGGAGAGGGAGCTGAGAAAAAGAGAGGGGGAGGAGAGGAGGGGAGAGGAGGACATGGGGGAGCAGGAAGGTTGAGTCGGGTGAAGAAGAAAGGAGAGCAGGATGAGAGATACCATAATAGAGGGACTCATCATAGGTTTGAGGAGAGAGCTGACACTAGGGAGATTTCCAGAGATCTACAAGGATGACACCAACTGTCAATCTAAGCAGTTACCCTTCTCTGATAATGAGTTTGATGGTTACCTTATATGCCATCCTAGAACCTTCATCCAGTGGCTGATAGAAGCCTAGGCAGACACCCACAGCTAAACACTGAACTAAATTCCTGGAACCCAGTGGCAGAGAGGGAGGAGTGATGAGCAAAGTGATCAAGACCGGGCTGGTGAAGCCCACAGAGGCAGCTGACCTGAACAAGGGGGAGCTCTTGGACCCCAGACTGAAGACTGAGAGGCCAGCATGGGACTGATCCAGACCCCCTGAATGTGGGTGTCAGTGAGGAGGACTTGGCAATCTATGGGGCCTCAGGTACTAGATCAGTATTTATCCCTGGCATATAAATGGACTTTGGGTGCCCATGCCACATTGAGGGATGTTCTCTCAGTCTGGACACATGCCGGAGGGCCTAAGCCCTGCTCTGGATGAAATGACAGACTCTGGAGATCCCCCATGGAGGGCCTCACTCTCCCTGGGGAGCTGAGTGGAGATTGGGTAGGGGATTTGGGGGTTTGTGGGTGGTGGACAAGGAAGGGAGGGAAAGGAATCTGGGATTGACATGTGAAGCAAGCTTGTTTCTAATTTAAATAAAAAAAGATAAAAAGAAACCCTGACTCTAAAAACAAAAGCAAGCAAACAAAAAATCAAATAACTGGGACTTCATGAGACTGAAAATCACACTGTTATTTAGACAAAGCAGCAGGCTACAGAATGGGAAAATATTTTTACCAACTATACATCTGATATATATATATCCTTATATATCAAAAATATATAAAGAAGTCACAAAAACTGGGCATGAAAAATAGCTCAGTTTAAAATCTAAATTGAATCTAAACAGAACTCTCAAAGGAGGAAGCTCAAATGGCTGAGAAGCACTTAAAGAAACATTCAGTATCCTTAGTCACCAGGGAAAGGCAAATCAAAACTACTCTGATATTTCATCTTACATCAGTCAGAATGGTCAAGATCAATAAAATAAATGACAGTAGGTAATGGTGATGGAGATGCAGGACAAAGACAACACTCATCCACCGCTGGAAGGAATGAGCCCACTTGTACAGTCACCATGAAAGTCAGTGAGGCAATTCTTCAGGAAGAAAGCAATCCATCTACCTCAAGATCCATCTATACCACTCTTGGTCACATACTCAAAGGATGCTGCATTCTATCACAGAGACACTTGCACAACCATGTTCGTTGCTGCTATGCTCATTATAGCCTGAAACTGGAAACAACCTGGATGTCTGTCATTAGATCAATGGGTAAAGAAAATACGGTGCATTTATACAACAGAATAGTACTGCAGAGTTAATAAAAATGAAAGTCATATGTAAACAGATGAAACTAGGGGAGGCGACTTTGCTTCTGTTTATTTTGTCATACTCCAATTTTTTTGGCTTCTGTTTTATCTTATTTCATTATTTTTCTTTAGATGACTATTTGTTCTCTGAGGAGAGGTAAAAAGGGGGTGCATCCAGATGGGGAGAGAGGTGGAGCAGAACTGGGAGAAGGAGGGAGAAGTGAATTGCAACCAGAATATATTATATGAAAAAAAATAAAATCCCATTTTCAATAGAAGAAAAGAAACACTGACTGACACCGAAGTCATGAACTTGGTACTGAAAGCTAGCAGCTTGGTGACAAGTATAGGTTCAACACATCAAATCTGGCCAGTGACAAGGCAGAATGAAAGTCTAATGAGCACACAGCTCTTTGTGCAGAGGTGGGAAGATTAATTAGCACATATTGAGTGCCATGACTGTGCTTAGAATCTTATCATGGGAAAAGAGTTCTCCCAGAATGGAAGCAGGGAGTTGGGACGTAGCTGTAAAAGAGAGAAGAGAAATCCAACAGATAGTCCGGAAGGGTAGACA